AGACAACGTGAACGAATTTAACCAAAACTGAACAGGTTAAGAGAAAACCTTGATCTAAAAATCTCGACGGGATTCAATCGAAAATTTTGAAAGCTGAAAACGAACAAAAACTGCTCTAAGATGATTTTTTTCGAAAAGGTTCAAAACATGAAAAATGTGCAGAATAATGTTTTACTTCAGTTTACACGAAACCAATAAAAATGAGCTCGTTTCGTGAGTTAAAACAGCCTATAAAATCTGCATTACCAAAATGAATCAAACCGACAATAACCAAGGTCATCCGATTATAAGCTCCAATCGATCTTTTTAATAAAAGGCTACAACACAAAAGTTGTCCAAAATCACGTATATATGTCTCTGCTCAAATTTCATAATTTATTGAGGTCGATTACTATTTTTCAGGATGTACAAATCAATAAACTCATAATTAAATTTTTGTACCTTAACTCCACCACTTCGGCCCTCCCCTTCTAGCCTACACATATATCCCATGTGCCTCCCGTATACCTAACACCGCTCCGAAGCCAAACTTGCACGGGGATATCGTCCCGAGTTTGACTCACACTCCCCGGATGGTTAGCATATACGTACGCGCGTAAATCAAAGCACTCGTCTACTCATGAGAACGAGGCAACAATATAAATAACATCTCATCAACATCATGGGACAAATATAACAATGCCGGGCATAAGGCATTAAACAACTCTTATAATCCTCACTTTTTTATACGCTCTTTCTCCCCATCACTCAAATAAAACAACAATCCATGGAGTCATGGTGGAGTACAAGGAATTTATCTATAGATTCTTAATTAATTTTAATTTCATATGACCATGAGTGTAATTACAACCATAAAATAAATCCATATAAAAATCCTAAACATGGCATACACAACTAATCAAAATAATTAAAATCAATCAATCATCTATAAACCCTAAACCTTACATACACAACTAAACAAAATAATTAAAATTAATCAATCATCTGAAAACCCTAAACTTTACCTACACAACTAATCAAAGTAATTAAAATCAATCAATTATCTAAAAATCCTAAACTTTACATACACCACTAATCAGAATAATTAAAATCAATATATCATCTTTATGTAAATACAAAATCAAACTAATATCAGATAAATAAAAATAAATAAATAAAAACAACGAATTAAACATAAATAAAGGAAAGTGGGTTTTGTACTCACAATACTTTATTGAAGATCAAAGAATATTTAGAAACTACTAGAGTCACCAAAACAAAATTCTAATCTTTCCTTTTCTTCCCTCTCCTCTTTTTTCCTTGCTGCCGCCCCTTTCTTTGTCTTCTTTGATTTCTCTCTCTCTCTCAACTTGGTTTCTCTCTTATCCTTATGATCTCTTAAACCTAGTTGAATACTTCTATGTTATTATATATATAATAACCTAAGAGCTAGTATAACCTAATAATCTTATACTATAAACCTAAATCTCAATATATAATAGCTTAATAAACTATAATATGCAGTAAATTTAATAATTACAACCTTAAATGCCTTAAATATCACATTAAACCTTATGTAACCACCCAATTAATAATTACAACATTAAATCCATTAAATATCACATTAACTCTCATGTGACCACACAATTAATAAAGTCAAAAATAAAATAAGATAATAATAATCATAATAATAATAAATACTGACTAAAGAAAATTAGGGTCGCTACAGGTTTTGTTTTGTTTTTTTTTTTAAATTTTTGAATTGAATGTTTTGTGAACATAACAGATCTTCTCTGTGATTTTTTTATGTGCTTGTGTTTAATATATTTTTGTCCCTTGATGTTAATGTGTTTTTGATTTTGTTATATTGAAAGTGAATATAAGTTCACAAATTTCTCTGGACTTTTCTTTGTAGTCCAGAGAAAATCATATGATTGTATTACAAATGATAAGTATTACAAATTTCTCTAGACTTATATGTTGTGTTTTTATGTGTTTTTATATGTTTGCACTTTTCAAAGTTTTCTGATATGTTTTCTTTGCACTTTTCATTTTTTTTTTTTTTGCACTATTCATGTTTGTGGACTTTTCTTTGTAGTATAGAGAAAATCGAAGGTTTGTTATTATAATCCAATGAAAATGACAGAGAAAATGTTAAGCTTGTAGTTGAGTGAAAATCACCCTTGAAGTTGGTGTCTTGATCTTGATGCTTATTGCTTCTTCAACTTAGACTTGTTTTTTTTGTGGTGTTCTGGTGCTGCTACTGCGTTTTGATCTAAGATCATAAGACGCAGACACAGAGACTTTTGGTTTCTTTTTCGGGGTTTCTGGGGTTGTGCTGCTTCTGCACTTTGCCATTGCTATAGAATGAAAACATAAACATTAAATCCCAGAGAAAATTACAAGGTAGCAATGATTACACAACAAAGAAAATTACACAACAGAGAAATTTTGAGGAAATTGAGTATTGAACAAAATAAATATGCCAGAGAAAATTAGACACAAGACATAAACATAATGTGGCCAGAGAAAATTATAAATGCTGTAAGAGAAAATTAGCCACACCAATAGAGTAGTAAGCCACAGATAATTTGCTTGAGAAAATAATGAAGAAACATAAACATGCCAGATAAAATTACACAATAGAGAAACACAAATGTAGCAAGCCAGAGAAATTTACAAAAACAAGAACACAAGAAGCTTCAATAAGAGGCCCCAAATGCACAGAAAGCAGTTCAATTTTGACAGTTGGAAGGAAAGCAACCCATCATCAGTTGGAAGCAAAGAAATTCTGGGCTTCCAAAGAATTTCTCTAGATTCAACCCAGAGAAAATTCAAATTTCTCTGGTCCAGAATTTCTCTAGAACGATAAAACTCTAATTTGATCAATTTGTCATTGACTTTGCTGCTGCTGATTCAATCACAATTTCCTGCACAAACAAATTAATAGTTCTTCTATGAGTTTGTGATAGATTTTCTTTAAACTTAATGGTATGAATTTCTCTGGGTTGAATCTAGAGAAAATTCAAATTTCTCTGGATCACTTTAAGCCTTCCTCTACTGCTGTCTCTTCTTCAAGCTTCTTTTTCCAATATTCTTCAAGTAGGGGTCCAAATATTGCTTTTCTAGAAACAACTCCAATTCTACTAAACCTAAAAAATCAAAAGACGTTATATTCAGCACTCAGAAAAATTTTGAACCTAAAGATGTTATATTCAACACTGGATATATATATATATATATATATGTGCTGACATTGTATATATATATATATATATGTTTGCAACCATAGATAAGATAACTGAGAGTGACTGTTTGATTATGGTTGCAAATGGTCTTAATTGATTAATTATCATATATATACTAGTCAAGACAGTAAGTAACAGATTGTATATATATATATATACATCTATCAACTCCACTCTAATCTGTTTGTTTACCCAGAAAATCAAATTTGCCAAACTTAGTGCTTTTGTTTTGCTGAATTTGTTTTCGTACTCGCCGGAAAATACCCAACACCAGTACCAGCATCACAAAGGAGAATATCCAGTAGACAGGTCAAAAAAATCAACTCATCTGAATATGAACAGACGTAGGGTATTTTGGTCCAAGAAATTGATAAAATATGCGGGTATTTTGGTTAGGGACCTGAGGCAGTATTACATTTTTTTAATGCTCTTTATACAGAAAATTGTTATTATTAGGGAGCTTAAAAAAAAAACCCCTTTACTTATTAGTCTGGAAATTTATCGATGTTATAAAGTATTATCTATTAGCTTGGAAAGAGATTGAATTTCCGAATTAATGAAGTGAAACTGAAAATCTCGAAAACAACTATAAAATATTCAATTGTTATGTACTATTTTAGTGCAATTATTTACTTCCAAAACCAAAATCCATTATCACAAATTTGATTTTACCAAAATAAGATGCATTGGATTTTATTTGAAAAGGCCAAATTACACTAGAGAAAATTAGTAAAACATCCCTCTCCAACTTTGTATAGTCAGAGAGATCCAAGATTTTTTTTATTAGTTAAGATCCCTTAACATTTTCACAGAGAAAATTTGACTCAGAGAAATTTCGCCTAACTCAAAAAAATTTCACCTCCAACTCAAAGAAATTTCAATCTTCACAAAAAAAAATTGAAATTTCTCTGGTATGATGATAGAGAAAAATTTCTCTTTGAAATCAGAAAAAAATTATGTAAAAATTGAAATTTCTCTAAGTCGGTGCAAAATTATAAATATACTTTCTGAAGTTTGCTTAAAATATAAATTATTCTTTATTATTTAGAAAATTACAAATATCTCTTTATTAGTATTTTTTATTTAGCAAAATTAACTGAACAAATGAAATTCATAATTGTTCTCCTATACAATGATAAAATTATCTAAATTATTAATTGAAACATATTTCTAACATCATTAAAAATTGTTTATTTACTTGATAATTTATTAATAAAAAGAGTCGTGTGTTATAAAATTAAAAATCTCAAGGGGTGGAATGTAATTTTCAAAACCACATAAACGATTGGTATTTTAATCAAATCTCAGAGGATGCATTTATAATTTACCCTATAAATAATAATATTAAGTGTCATAAAAAAAATATTTTAATATTTATTTAATAATACTTAATATTACTCGAAAAATATTTTGAAACTCTAATTCTTGAGTGATAATGAGTCTTTTTGAAACTCTAATTCTTGAGTGACAACAAATTTTACCTATTATGATGTGATGTTTTAATCTTAATTTATTTATTTATTATTTTTCTTCTTATTATATCATTAATATTCTATTAAAATATTAAGATTAATCAATGTCATTAAAATATCATTAACACTCTATTAAAATATCAAAATTAATACTCCGAATCATGGCTAATATTACTCGGTCCTATCGTTTTATCTCTGACTTCAGTTACATTACAAACGCACCCCAACCCCAACGTCACCCCATGTCTATAAATAACAATCTCTCTCTCTTCATAACAGTTGCAACAAAGGTTGAGGCACTTTTAGAGAGAGAAAAAGCTTAATTTCTAGAGAGAGAAAGTAATGGGGAGCAACAACAACAACAGGAGAGGAAGAACAGTGATGGAGGTCGGAGCTGATGGGGTGGCTATCATCACCATCATCAATCCTCCCGTCAATTCTCTCTCCCTTGATGGTACTCTCTTCATCTTCTATTTCTTTCTCTTTTTTTTTGGTTTTCCCATAGGGTGTCCGAGCCAGCTTAACGCGCACCTACGGCTGGCCACGAGTTGTTGCAGCGGCCGGAACTCGAACTGCAAACCCAGAGTCTTACTCAATGGTGGACAAGCCACTGGGCAACAAGCTCGTGGTTCATTTTCTTTTTCTATATATGTATTTGTATGTATAAATATTACTCACTCATCGTCATCTTCAATTTTGCTTCATGTTGTTGTGCTTCAATTTCATTCTTATCTGTTTTGAGTTTTTTTTTTCATTGTTAATTATGGTTTTCTCTGAGCTTGTTGATACAATTGTTTCAGTAATATTTTTATGAACATTGTGCACTGGCCGATTTCAATTTTGCCTTGGCGGACACTCCGAGGAATTTTTTGTCAACATTCAAAAACTTTTCACTCTGTTTCATTTTGGATTTTTAATTCGTATTTTTTATTTTTAATATTTTAATATTTTTATTTATTTTTAGATGTATCTAATGTAGAAAAGTAAAATATTTGCTAAAAATTTAAGGATACATTAATACACCCTAAGGTTTGATTAAAATAAAAATCGCCTCATGTAGTTTTGAAAATTATATTTCATTCTCTGAGATTTCTAATTTCATAACAAATTACCCATTTTATTAATAAATCATCAAATCAATTAATAGTTTTTAATGATGTTAAAAATGTGTTTCAATTAATAATTTAAGTAATTTTATTATTATATGAAAGATCAATTATGAATTTTATTTTTTTAGTTAATTATTTATTTTAAGCAAACCTCAATGAGTATATTTGTAATTTATCCAAAATTTAATAAGTATAAAAAATATATATATATATTTGTATTTTTAATATTTAGTAAATTTTTGAAAGACTTGCTCATAAATTTTGTACTTTTTGAATGTCTAGATTAATCGGATGTAAGGAATAAAAATTTTTGATTAAAATATTAAAAAAGTTATACTAAGAATAAAAAAAAATATGAATTAAAAAATCAAAAACTGTTTTTGAAAACTCAAAAATCAAATAAAGTTTTTGATTTTCAGATTTTGTTTTTTAAAAAAACTAAAAATTAATTTAGTGAAAAAAATGAAGAAAAAAAACACTCATCATTTCCATATAGTTTTATTTTTTGGAGGTTAGAAATAATTTTTAAAATTCTTAAAATATCTTTTTAGTATTTATTTTTGTTGAAACTAATTTTTATTTTTCCATAAAAGACTTAAAAAATAATTTCTGAAAATCCAACCAAACGGAGTCTTAAATTTTACAAATTATATAAACGTAAAACGATAAATTACACTGACCTCCCTTAATATTTAAGAAAGATATAGCAAATTCTAATGTTTTAATGTTTTAGTTCACGTTACGCTTAAAATCCCTTTTTCATCAATAATTAGAAAAATAATGTTGTCATATTTTTTACATTAACATGTGTATTTTTCTTTTATCTATGTGTCTTTACATAATCTACAGTAGTTTCGGTTTATTTAGTAAGACTAAAAGGGGGTGGTATAATTATGTATTTTTTTCAAATTTCTGGGAAGGGTAGTGTAATTTACCCAAAATAAAATCACACTTATTAATATTTATAATCTATTTCCTATAAATCTATCCATTTAAACTTGTTGAATCATAAATAGAAGAGAATTATAATATATACACTATTGTTTGAAGAAAAAAATTTGTAAATGTTGCACATTATTTTGCTTTACTTTTTAATGCACCTAAAAATTAAGTCCCAGAAGACAAGATCTCGGCCTAGATGATTAAGTCCGAGAAGAGAAGATCTTGGCCTAAATTAAAAAAATTTTATATGAGGTCCACAAAGGAGTATGTGGAAGCCATGCAGGGGGGAGATCCCTTACCCATAGAGCAATATCGTAGGGATTCTTTTGGCCTTTCATGCAAAAAGAAGCTGAAGCCTATGTAAAAAAGCATGAAAATGCTTTGAAATCCACCTGCAACGTGCGATAGAACAGCAATTCGACTGGGGGCATACCAGCAACAACTTGCTAGGGCTTACAACAAGAAGGTCAGCCAAAGAGAGTTCAACATTAGGGACCTCAGCCTGAGAAAGGTTGCCGGCAATGGGGCATAATGGCTGAAGCAATAATAAAGTGCTAGTTTGATTTTTGAAATTTGTATGATAGGACCGACCAGCCCTATGACGATGTTTCTGATTGAAACATGACGAATAATTTAGACTTATTATATGGCAGAGTACAAACTTTACTTGCATATAATAAAGTTGAACTAAGCTAGGTTAACCTGGACTTGTCATATCGGCAAAATCAGACACAAATTGGAGCTGAGTGCCTTAGTAAAGAGACCAAGGTTGATAAACTCAGCCAATCTTTGTTCGAATCTTACATTGGCGACGAGGTCAAAGCCATGTGCCTAATGAGAACCCAAGTGGAACTTAAGTTCACATTAGGGGGCAAAAGGTTAAAGAATGATGCTTGGGAGTTGGAATTTTCAAGCCGAGGTCATGTTTAACACTTGTTGAAACTTAAAAAGTTTACAAGTAGAAGTTAAACCGAGATCATGTTTAACACTTGTTGAAACTTGAGAAAAGTTTACAAGTTGAAGTTAAACCGAGATTATGTTTAACACTTGTTGAAACTTAAAAAGTTTACAAGTTGAAGTTAAACCGAGATTATGTTTAACACTTGTTAAAATTTGAAAAGTTTACAAGTTGAAGTTAAACTGAGATCATGTTTAATACTTGTTGAAACTTGAGAAAAGTTTACAAGTTGAAGTTAAACCGAGATTATGTTCAACACTTGTTGAAACTTGAGAAAAGTTTACAAGTTAAAGTTAAACCGAGATTATGTTTAACACTTGTTGAAACTTGAGAAAAGTTTACAAGTTGAAGTTAAACCAAGGTTAAACACTTGTTGAAATTTTATAAAAAAATTTACAAGTGAAACCAAGGTTGCACCAAGAAAGATACTTGGGTATTTGCCGAGGTAAATCATCAGTTTGTATAACCGAGGTGTGTCACCCCGAGAAGGTTGCACAAGATTGAAGTGTATATTAAAGACATGTAAATTATTTTAAGAATCATACAAAAGTAAAAAGAAGACACATACAACCACGTTAAAAGAAGAAATTAAAGAATGCATTCAAAAAAGGAAAGAAGGAACTTCAGCCTAAAATTGAAGAATGATTGTTTAAATTACAAAAAGGCCGGTGTGAAGTACGCCGGTATCAGACGGTGGTAGTAAGCAAAGAGATGCAACGAAAGCCTCATAGGAGGGAGAGAGTGAAATTGGTTGCAGAAAGCTTCGCAAAAATAGCAATGGAGGATTTGAGAGAAAAAGTTCGAAAGAATGAAGATACAAAAGTAAAAAGACGAAGAGAGAGTTGATTTTGATCAAAAGCATGAAATGGCGGCAAAACTGGCAATTATGGTGCCTTGGACGACGTGCTTGTCAGACGACGCAAGCAAAAGTGATACGACTTGATAGCGCGTATTAGGTACGGTCCAGTAGGGGAAAGACGCGTGGTAAAAACGGTTGGAATACTGTGCGTGCCAGTGCTGAAACTCTTGGAGATACGACTTTTGGCCGCCCAAGAAATCTTAGGAAGGCTGCAAAATACTAGCAGTATAACAAGTGAGAAATGATTTTCCACAGAGAGAGAGAGAGAGAGAGAGGTGTATATGTGCTCCTTATTGGAAACAAGAAGGTGATTGATATTATGCCGAATTGATTGAGGAATATTTGCTGACTTTGCTTCTTCATGTACAATGAAATGAAGTGAAAAGTTGCACACAGACCAGTAAAAGAAAAAAATGTTTTTAAGATCTCCGCCAAGCACAGCCAATATTTTTTCAGCTTTCTTATGTTGAAGGTTCTTCTAGAACCTTATCGATAGACACTTGTACATTTAATTTTCTTCATTATCTTGCCACCATTCGTATGATATAAAATGTATACTTCAAAAGTGCATACGCTCTTAGGCAACTCACAAGGACATTGCCTATTTGCTAGGCTTTTGGAGATGTATGATTTCTTTAACCTTTTCTTTCAGTAAATAGATAGATGTTGGATTTCTACTTGTTCTGAATTTGTGATGTAACTCTTTTTTCTTTCTTTTTCTTTCTCACCCTTCCTTTTTTATTTTTTCCAGGGCTTGAAAGAGTGGTATGAGCTAGCCTTACAAAGAGATGATGTGAAGGCAATTGTTGTTACTGGTAATGTGAAGAGATGATGGCTTATCATTTTCTTATGATGAGATACGAAGCTAATACTTCTGTTACTGGATCAGGTGCAAAGGGCAAGTTTTCTGGCGGTTTTGATATAACTGCTTTTGGTGGGATGCAAGGGGGAAAGAGTATGTATATTTGTTTATGCGTTATCTATTCTTGTGCTGCACAATCACATATTTCCTAAAATTGTAGTTCTGTTTTATCACAGTTGCACCTCCAAAACCTGGCTTTATGTCAGTAGAGGTTCTTACTGACACTGTGGAAGGTAATCTTGCTGCGTTTCACCCTTTTCCTCTGCTCTTGTCCTATTTGATCATGAAAGTTTGCGTTACTTATTTTCATGGCTTCTCTTCGCTCAGCTGCGAGAAAGCCTTCAGTTGCTGCTATTGATGGCCTCGCTTTAGGTGGAGGGCTAGAGGTTGCAATGGTATGTGCTGCTTCATCTTTTTGACTAGGGACTGCTCTCTTGAATTCATGTAAATGATGTTGTACATTTGCTGTGCCAGGCCTGCCATGCACGGATATCTACTCCTAGTGCCCAACTAGGCTTACCTGAACTTCGGCTTGGGGTAATTCCTGGATTTGGAGGTATAGCTCTTTGTTTAAATTTGCAGTGATTTATTTTTTATTGTTTGGAGATGAACTAGAGGTTGGAATAGATTTTAGTTGAGTGTAACTATTAAATTCTTATTCAATTTTAAATAATTAGACCTTTGCCACTTTATTATATCATTCTGTGGAAATGGAATATATAAAGGGAAATTTGGACAAAAACTCTCGAATAAAAAGAGCTTATGAACATAGTTTGTTGGAAGCAAATAGTCTTTAGCCCAAAAGCAGCAATATGTTTTTTTGTTAGTTCCTTGAGCCCTTTTACTAAACTATTTTAGTCAAGCAAGCCTTTCATCTGAATAACACACCAAAAAGCACTAGCCAGGTCTCTGTACTGATGAAAGCCTTAATGCTTGCATTTTATGCATGAAAATGTTTCATGTCAACATTGTTGCTATGATGTTTATAGTGTCAATTATGGCTAAACGCTGTTTTTTCCCCTCCTTTTCATCGACTCATGCTCCTAAATTGTCTTAGGTACACAGCGGCTTCCACGCCTTGTTGGCCTCTCTAAGGCCCTTGAAATGATGCTGGTATGCTGGCTTGCTTTGCATTTACCTCATTTATATAAAAAAATCCTGGTGCAGTCGTAATCTTCTTAAATTAATTTTTGATCTCTCACTCTCTCTGATAGACATCAAAGCCGGTTAAAGGAGAGGAAGCTCACGATTTGGGTCTAGTGGATGCCACAGTCTCACCAGATGAGTTGATAAATACTGCTCGTCAGTGGGCACTAGATATTTTGGAGGCCAAAAGACCATGGGTTAAAAGCCTTTATAAGACTGACAAGATAGAGCCACTTGGTGAGGCAAGGGAAATACTAAAGTTTGCAAGAACTCAGGCGCGAAAACAAGCTCCCAACCTCGAGCATCCAATAGTTTGCATTAATGTTGTTGAAGAGGGTATAGTTTCTAGTCCCCGTGCTGGGCTTTGGAAGGTTCTGAACTGTCCCTAATTCTCTTTTGCATTATGGCTAGCATACCATAATATGACTGTAAGTGTGTGATATTCACAGGAAGTTGAAGCTTTCCAAGGACTCTTACATTCAGATACTTGCAAGAGCTTGATCCACCTCTTCTTTGCTCAACGTGGAACCTCAAGGGTATGATGAAGTTATAATTTTTATGAGTGTTAGAATTGTTACGAGTGTTGCCACTTCATTTCTATCTCATGTTGTAGCCATGCTTTCGATGGACAACTTTTTGGTCCTCACTTAGAAGTGAGGTTTTGAAAATTTAATGTCTCACAGTTTTATCACTAAAATCAGTTTGTAGATGCATAGTGAAAGTTGAGGTAGTTTGCCATTTAAATGTCAAAATAAATTTTTAATGTTGGGTACCTTCAGAATCAGAACTGTAATCAATCTTCCGAAGTTTGTGGAAGTAGAAAACTGTGTTAATTTGAATTCATAGTATATTAATTTAAGGTAAACAGTTAATATTTTCATGTTCTTGATGCTACTACTTTGACTTTGGTTTATCATGAATTTGCTAATGTTCAATGATCCACTAATATAGTTATAGTTGGTAGTCAATAGTGTTAAATCAGTTTTGTAATTTGGGTTATTCAAACTTGAAATCATGATTTCCAGCTTAATCCAGAGTTACCTGTGAACATATTGGTGATTTTGAAATACATTTTAAAAGCTTTTAAGAAATCGTACATAAGCACAAGGCTCATAATATTGTTCGCAATGATTTCTCCTAATGTAAAAAATGATTATTGCTTTTTGTAGAAAGCTAATCCAGATCACAATCCAATATTTCAGTTAATTTTTTCCCTCTATTTTGTTTGTGGATAGGCAAAACCATTAATTTAGAGTCTTTATGCGGCATTACCTGAGGTGACGCTGTAAACATTTTATGTTTAAATTTACTAACACATTTTGCTTGCAAGGTTCCTGGGATCACTGATCGGGGTCTCGTACCAAGACGAATAAGTAAGGTTGCTATTCTTGGTGGTGGATTAATGGGCTCTGGCATAGCAACAACATTGATTCTTAGTAACTATCCTGTGGTCCTGAAAGAAGTCAATGAGAATTTCCTATAGGCGGGTGTAGGTAGAGTTAGAGGTGAGGCCAAAGTTCTATGTTTAGAAGATAGTTTTCAAATTGGAATACGAATCATATTTCATTTATTTTTCTGAATTGTGTATCCTAAGATTGTTTACCATCTTCAAAAATAGGTAGAAAAATAAATATAATTATATAAAAAATAAATATCTTGTGCATAATCAATAGTTTGCCTTGTCCATAATAGAAAATTTTAAACTTTAACCATGTTAGTAGGTATAAATCAATGATACAAGCTACCTATATCATACAAGTAGATATTTGTCAAAACGGTAGACAAAGATAAAATAAAAAGTACCATTCTCAAAAAAAATAAAACTCTTTTTTAATGAGCTGATTAAATTTTTTTACAATATTAAGTTACTTAGGATAAGTTCAATTATTTTTTTTTCATAGTTGCTAAAGATATTTTAGTATTTATGTAATATATGTGTCGCATCATGTGTCATATATATATCATGAGATACATTTGATTTAAGATACAAATTGATAATATTATCAATTTTCTTCTAAAAAGTATTAAATTGTATGATACGCATCGTGAATCATAATGTACTAACAACAGTGGTTTAGACTACATCTTGTTCATCAGTTCTTCTAACTCGAGATTCTTTTGTTTGTATGGTCTCTGAATTCTAATTAATATTAATTTTATTCAGCCAATTTGCAAAGTCGTGTCAAGAAAGGGAAAATGAATGATGAGAAGTTTTTAAAAACCCTTTCTCTTCTCAAGGGTGTCCTTGACTATGAAAGCTTTAGAGATGTAGACATGGTCATAGAGGTAATGCAGAATAATATAAATTTTGTTTATCATTTTTCATTTTTCAGTTTCTGTTTTGTTTTCAAGTTTTATAGTACTTCTTGTTGTCAATGCTTCAAATAGGCCGTTATTGAGAATGCCTCTTTAAAGCAACAAATTTTTTCTGATCTGGAAAAATATTGCCCTCCGCATTGCATACTTGCAAGTAACACTTCCACCATTGACTTGAACCTGATTGGGGAGAAGACCAGGTCCCATGACCGGATCATTGGAGCCCATTTCTTCAGGTAATATTTGGAATAACATTTCCATTGTTTTTTCTTGCACCTTTCTTCATGAAAATGGGGTTTAGCAATTGCTTTTTGTAATCTAAAAAAGCTGATGCGTTTGGTAATTGCTAAAAATTTTGTTTGTTTTAGTGGAACAGTTGCTTTTTTTTAAAAAAAAAAATATAGATTTTTTTAGCTGAAACAAACATGTTTTTTTTTTTTTTTTTGTATTTTGGCTTATTTAGCCCAAGCAAAACGACAGCCTAACAATTGATTTTTTGCTTTTAATACAGTCCAGCTCACATCATGCCACTTTTGGAAATTGTTCATACCGAGAAGACATCCCCACAAGTAATTGTCGATTTACTGGATGTCGGGAAAAAGATAAAGAAAACCCCAATTGTAGTTGGAAATTGCACCGGCTTTGCTGTTAACAGGATGTTCTTCCCTTACACACAAGCTGCCCTTTTGCTTGTCGAACATGGTGCAGATCTCTATCAGATTGATAGGGCAGTCACCAAATTTGGAATGCCTATGGGTCCATTCAGGTACACATATTCGTTATAGCATTATTATATGCTAAGAAGCATGGACACTCCTAAGAAGGTAATGTCGTGTCAGTTACAGAGTTGGACACCGACACGCCATGACACTTATTGGGCACTTTCCAACACTTCCTGAAACACATTACTAGTTTAAATAAATTAACCTAGAATCCAACGATAAAATAAAAATAATATAAATTCATATCTATTCTTATCCTTTAGACTTTAAAAATTAATATTTTTGACTTAAATATTAATATATATGTCATGTAATAATCATTTATCCAACATATAATAAATATATCTTGAAGGCCTGCTTTTCCTCTTGCTTATAGGAAGGTAAAATTATATAATTTGCACATATCCCCCATGTGTCATAACCTACTTTTTATAAATATTCCTTGTCGATGTGTCTATGTCATGTCACATGTCTGTGTCGAGCTTCTTATGCTACCTGGTATCTTGATCCTGGTTTCTTTAAACAGTCTAATGTGTTACATTGAATTGGCTAGTTGGTTTCTTTATTCTGTTGTACATGCAGATTGTGTGATCTAGTTGGTTTTGGGGTTGCGATCGCTACTGGTACGCAGTTTGTTGAAAATTTCCCCGAGAGAACCTATAAATCAATGCTAATTCCAATCATGCAGGAGGATAAGAGAGCAGGTAGAATTTCTGTTGTTTCAAACTTTAAGGGGCGAGTAATGTTTCCTGTTACTGTATTTGTTGTGCTGCTGTCTGAATTATGAATGCATTTCTTAGACTCCTATATATGGCACTTGTTTTAGGTGAGGCAACTCGCAAAGGGTTTTATGTTTACAATGACAAACGCAAGGCAAGCCCAGATCCTGAAATAAAAAAAATTGTTCAGAAAGCAAGGGAGATTTCCGGCGTTAATGTTGATCCTAAGGTCTCTCTCTCTCTCTCTCTCTCTTCCCTTTTGTATTTTTAGTAGTTGAATCTTACTTACGCTAAGTGGGGGCAGGGGACCAAGAACATAAAGAAGTTCATAAAATTGGGAGCATCTATGAGAGTGTGTATATGTTATTTTAATTAAATATTAAATATATCTTAACAAATATTTTTTTTGCTTAGTTGTATTGTGTGTTAAAATAAGAATGAATATTAGAGATTGGTGTAAACTACAAGTTGTCTTTGTTAAGTTTAAATAAATATTATGTAAATACAAAATAATATAGTAAGTTAGAGTTGTTTTTCTTTTGTTTTTTTGAGATTTGTATGTTTGAGAGGTTCTATCTTAGTTGGTAGCAAAGTTCTTACAAGTTTCGCACTTAGGAGTGCGAAATTGAGTTTATGAGTAAAAAAATCATCCTTAGAAGTTCTTGCTATTAAGAGTTGAATACTTGGGAGTTAGGATTGGTGTTTCACGATCATTATACTTAGGTAGTGCCTTTGCAATGAGATCATATCAATATATTTAATCTTTAACAACAAGAAGTGTTTAATGATCATTCTCTGAATTTGGTGGGGTTTGAACTTGGATACAGCTGATGAAGTTATCGGACAAGGACATTGTGGAGATGGTATTCTTCCCCGTCGTGAACGAAGCCTGTCGAGTCCTTGCTGAAGGTATTGCAGTCAAAGCATCAGATCTCGACATTGCTGCTGTGATGGGCATGGGGTTCCCGCCTTACAGGTTTGTGGTTTCATCCGATTCAAGTGCATTTTCTGTAAACCTCAAAGGACCGTTCTTATAACCAACTTGGCATAATCTTTGAATTTAGGGGAGGAATTATGTTCTGGGCAGACTCTCTTGGATCAAAATACATTTACTCGAAATTGGAAGAATGGTCGAACGTGTATGATGGAGGATTCTTCAAACCTTGTGCCCACTTAGCTGAAAGAGCTACGAAGGGGGCTTTTCTGGTGAGAATTTTGAAACTGATTTGGGTATTATGACTAGAGTTATGAACTAATTGTTAATAGGAGATGCATCATTAGTAACTGTCTACCAAGATCTGTCCATGATCATGGAATATAGAATTATATAGGACACAAACTATACAAAAGAAGGGCATAATCCACTGAGTTTTAATCTTACACTCCTCTATAAATGCCTGGTTAATCTCAAATGCTTTTCTAAAAGGGCAGGTCCAGAGCACTTGGTTCCCACCATTGCGGGGTCTTTAAGGGTCAGATGTCTGCAGTCTTACTCTTACCTTCGTGTGCAAAGAGTGCCTTTGTTTTTGCTTGATTTGAACCATCTACGTTGTCGCTTGATTTGAACCATCTATGTTGGGCCACCGTTTATTGCCTTCTTTAGAATGGTTACCTCGCCCCTACTCTCTAAAGCTTGCCACCCCTCTATATATTTAGTAAAGCTCGAAACACTTCCATGACCCCTTGTCCTTTGCCTTCTATCATATGGTCTGCATTAGTTTGTCGGTTGATTGGGGCTGTGTTTACATATTTCTATGTCTTTTCTTTCTTCGAAATTCTTCACAGATCCAAGATCTAAACACCGCAAAAAGGGTTCATTAATTTACTGATAACTTAGTTGCTGATATCTTTCTTGGTGACATTCTTTTAGTGATAAAATTTGGATCTTTCCATTGCAGAGTACTCTTGTGGAGCGAGCAAAATCTCAGCTATAAAATTTATTTTCTAGTTACATTGTCACCCAATGTGATTTTGCTAATGTATTTTTCTTTTCTTTGTTTGCTTTTTCTTTTCCCTTTCTTGATGCTGGTGAAAAATGCTTAATAGAGCTAAATAATGCATAAGATGGATCGAGAACAGGATGTCTGAGAATTCAAACAGTAATATTTATCTTGATCTTAAATCAATTTTATATTGCTATTCTTAAAATTGAAATGACTTTATTGCATGACGAGAAATCTCTTTTAAGGCAGGGTGATCTGCGTCCATTTATAAGAAGTAAATTCTAGATTTCATTTGGAAATATTAAATTGGATTACTGATTACTCTTGAAAGATATGAGTAAACAAATAAAACATCCGAGTTTATTAATTTGCATAATATACTTTTGGGAAAATTACAAAAAAAAAATTGAATTTTGACCATTATAACAAAATAAATATTAAGTTTTTAATTTTGTCAATTCAAACTTTAAATTTTTAATTTGTTTTCAATCTAATTTGTTTATCTATTTTCGTAAGATGAAACTAAGAAAAATGCTTTTGAGCTCTAATTCTTGAGCTCTAAAGTTAGAGCTAATGAGTTGTTAGTAGGTCCCACCCTCCACTGTGATGTTTTAGTCTTGATTTGTTTGTTTGGTTTTTTTTTTTTTCCCCCTCTCCTTACTATGTCATAAGTACTCTATTAAAGTACCAAAATTAATATTTTGAATCATTACTGTAAAACTAATAGAAAAAATAATATTTTAATTATTAAACTTAACGGAAATGATATTTTAGTTATTTGATATACAGTTACATTGACTTTAATGATTAAAATGTCTTTTCTTTTTTCTTTTTTCTTTTACTTTTTTTTTTGGTTAGTTTTACTTAATGGTAATAGAAACAAATTGATAGTTTCAAAAATATTAGAATTTAAATTAATAAAATTAAAAATTTAGAATTTAGTTTGATATAATGATTAAAATTTAGAATTTTTTTTTGTCATATTTTTTATATTTTTGTATTTCTCTCTTTTTTTTTTTTTAAGCAATTTCAATTGAATACAGTGAAGAAATTGAAGAGTCAAATCATTAGAAACAACCTTGGATACTTCACGTAGTGCGTGTGGATGGAAATATTGAGTAAAAAAAATGATTTAGAGCACTAAAAGAGAAGCATTAAAGGAGTATTAAATTGTCTTTTTTTTCTTTGTGTTTTGTCTTTTACTTCTTTTTTTTTTTTTGAATGAAAAAAAAATGTGAAAGGCTATTTATTAGTTGATTATCGGCTTTAGGCCCCGAAAATCTCAGGATCAGGCCTATTAATAGCAAAGCTCACCCTACAAACGCTGCAGGTATCACTCTTCTTATCATAAAAATGGGTAGAAGATAATTTCTAGGCAAGAGATAATTTCCTTTAGTGAAACATGAGTCATCTATAATTCGAATGTCCCTTTGAACTCAGATCTTGAGATCTCCAGTCAGCTAAGTTGGGTTGACATTGTGGTAACTTTAAATAATAGGCTTAAAACCCATTTCCCTTGGTAAATGATACAATTGCTCTCTGCCTAGCCCTTTAGTCAATGGATCCGCAATGTTATCCTTTGACTTTATATACTCAATGGAAATAATTCCTTGTGAAAGCAATTGTCTAACAGAATTATGTCTTGGACGAATATGTCTGGACTTTCCATTAGACATCACATTTTCTGCTCGTCTTATTATTGATTCATTATCACAATGAATGCATATAGCTGACACGGATTTAGGCCACATTGAAATCTTTTCTAGGAAATTTTGAAGCCATTCTGCTTTTTTTTAGGTATGCCACCTCACTAGAGCTGCTTTTAGTGCTCTTCTTTTAGTGGTCTGTATCATAGTTGTATTAAGTAATAACCCTATGGCTATACTAAGACCATCTCCAACGGTTCACCAAACCTGGCATCAAATTTGAAATTTGGTGAAAAAATCACTTTTTGAAGCTCCAACGGTTTCACCAAACTGGTATCAAATTAAGAATTGAACAAAAAAATCATCAAACTGATAACAGAATACAGATTTCAGCAAATTACTGTTTGTGACCGTTGGAGGAGAGGAACCGGTCAACCAACCAGTTGCTCGGCCTGTTGACCAATCGGTCGATCACGGAAAGATTCAAACAGTTCAAATGGGTAGGTTCAAACAATTCAATATATATATATATATATATTTTTGCCTTACCGGTCGACCACTAAAAAGTTCAAACAGTTCAAATAGGTAGGTTCAAACAATTCAAAAAAAAAAAATTTGCCTTACCAATCGACCAACCGGTTGTTCCTGGAGCAGATTTGATGAAAATCAACCATTAGAGCATTCTGTATCAAATTGAGCAAATGATCATTTTTTTACTCAGATTTGGTGAAAAATTAGGTGAACCGTTGGAGATGCTCTAACTATACTATTATTTATGTGCCAAGAGTAGCTACCTAGCGTACGTGTCGTTTCTGGATCAGCATAATGTATCTATGTTTGTGTTATAAAAAATATCGATTCATAGTCAAATTGTATTTTCGTTCCTTCGTCTATCTTTTAAGATTGATGAAACTTGTTGTGTGAGTCAAACGTAATATTTTTTTGTCTCATTAGCGTTTTTATACTATTATCAAAATCTTGTTTTAGTCTTTGTATTTTCACTAAAATTTTATTTTGATTCATTTACTTTTAATTTTCATTACCGATAGATTGATGAATTCATTGTATTGAAATATGAAAAATTTGTGAGTAGGTTTTAAGAGGATGTAACCTAATTTGTCTCATGGATGTGTAGTTGAATTTTTTTTTTCACTTTCTTGGAGTACTTGTGAACATCTCCCTAGCATTGCTATAGATATTAACTAAATGGACCGACAACAAGTATTTTATATTAGGTCCGACTCTTCTCCAGTCAAGAGTGTTAAAAGGCTCATGAACCAATTCACAATTGCAATTCAGTTGATTGGAGAGAAGTCATATTGCTAGCTAGATATCGGTACTACTTTGTTGTAGATCTAAGAAGTCAATTAAAAAGCTAGTAAACCCAAGAAGGAAGAAGACTTGGCAGCCTGTTGTAGATAAGGTTACATCCAAGTTAGCATTTTGAAAAAGGAAGCTATTGTCATTTGCTGGTAGGCTAACTCTAATCAAGTCTATCCTTGATAGCTTCCATACGTACTACATCTCTATTTTTAAATTGCCTAAAGGAGTAGCAAGGAAGATTGACAAGCTTAAGGCAGCCTTTTTGTGGGGTAGTTCAGATTTAAAAAGAAAGATTCACTTGGTGAACTAGAATGAAGTAATAAGGAAAAAAGAGCAAGGCGGGTTAGGAATAAGAACGATCAGTGATATGAATGAGTTCATGCTAGTTAAGTGGTGGTAGAGATATGGAGTGGAAGATAAATCATTCTGGAAGAAAATTATTACTAGTAAGTATGGGGCCAAAAGGGGGAGGTGGTTATCAATGAAGGAAGGGATTGGTAATGAATTTATTATGTGGAGTGATATTTTAAATGTGGCAAGATCTAATATTGGCTTGTTTGAGTTTTATGTATCGAAGTTTCAAATTGAGGTTGGAAATGGAATTAGGGTTGCATTTTGGCATGACAATTGGCTATTGAATGTACAGCTAAAAAAGGAGTTTCTTAGGCTGTTTATGCTATCAATGGAAAAGGAAGGCACATTGAGTACTTTCATGCAAAGGAGAGATAGTTTTGCGGATTAGAAGCTCTTGTTCAGAAGATCACTACTTGCCTGGGAGGAAGAGGAAGCCATAAGGCTGTAGGAATTAACAAGAGATGCTCCTAACCTTAATTTGGAGTAGAAGGATTCAGTAAGATGGGCTCCATCTTCCTTTGGTTTGTTCATAGTGTCATCTTTAAGAGACTGGTTTGAGGCCAACAAAGCTCCTTCATTACAAGTGCCTAGGATGCTTTGGAATAACGTGGCACCTCCAAAAGCATAGTTTCTGAGCTGGTTGGCATGGAGAGGAAGGGTTAAAACCATTGATATGTTGGTAAAGGTTGGGGTGCTTAGTTCAACAATGGTAAATGAATGTCCATTTTGCAAGAATAAAACAGAATCAGTGGATCATTTATTTTTGCTATGCCCTGAGGTGTGAAAGGTCTAATCAAAGTTATTACTCTGGTGGGGAATAAGCTGGGTTACACCTGCTACTGTGGAGAGTCTGCTGCTATCGTGGTTAGGAACAAAATTAAAAAAGATGGTTTTGAAGATATAGAGACTTGTTCCAATTGCAATGCTATGATCAATTTGGAGGCTGAGAAATGAGTGTGTTTTCAAAGGCAGACATGACAATATGGAAGAGCTGGGTGAGACAGTAAAGGTGAGGATTGGGTTGTGGGTTAACTATAATTTGTCTAATATACACTATTCTGTGCATGATATTGTGGAAATTTTGAATCAGATTAGGCTATGCTTATAAGGTGGTGGGAAGGTTGCATTTTATAGCTCGTGCTATATCTTGTGTGGGCTCTGTTTAGGTAATTAAGGGGGGTATCAGTTGGTGTTTTGATTGGGGATTAAAAGCGAGTTTAATTAAATATTCGATTCAGTTTAGTAAAATTGAGATTTGATTAATTGGGTCCAAATTGGAGTTGATGAAGTTAACTAAGTAATTAAGGCTGAAATGTACATCATTGAGGCCGTTAATTAGAATCTCTTAACTTCACTTGCTAGTCAAACTGTATACTTTATGTGTGTTGAATGTCAATCAGGTTATACATCGTCGGAGCATAAAATGGGCAAAAAGACAGAATTTGGACAGAGTTGACTTTCCCGCACGTGCATTGCGTTGACTTTTTTTGGGAAAGTCAAACCAACGTTTTTAAGTCTGTTTGGACGAGATTGGAAGTATAAAAAGGCAAGGAAAAGGCTTTTGTAGGGTTCGGAAGTTGTTTTGACCTAAAGGGAGAGGCTAGGGTTTGGAAGGGAAGGGAAACACAAAGCTTCAAAGATGTCTCCCATGGTAGTTTCTTCTCCATCTACCTCCTTCCACTCCTCCATGAGTGGCTAGTCTCCTTTTCTAGGGTTTTGAACTTGGATATGGCTTACACCAATGTCTCTAACTAGGCGAAGACCTGCTATTAAGGCCTCATATTCGGCTTCATTATTGTTGGCGTCAAATAGGAAACGGAGGGCTGATTAAGGCCGAATTGTACACCATTGAGGCCGTTAATTAGAATC